CAATTTGGCTTAAAGATAAATAAAATAAATTAATGTCTGTTTTGTGGATGAGGTAAATTTTGCACAATTTTATATGGGGAGATAGTGAATTCATTATTATTAGTGTTTATCAATATTCCTAGAAAAGGAATTTTATTGCTATTATTAAGTTCGTATGCAAATTTAACGACTGAATTATTTTTTGTTTTGGATTTGATATATTTCTTCCATATTCTTGACTAAGATAAGGATACTATCGACATATCTTAAGTAAATGGAAGTTTGTTTTTTTTTTTAAATTTATTAAATATATCATTTTCGAGACTAGACATATAGAAATTACTAAAAGTAGGGGCCCAGAACTAATCCGCGGAAACAGCAATTCGATGTACATATATATTATTGTTGTGATCGTAGTGCAAGTTAAATGTAGTTTCTGTAATATACTAGGTTTTATTTGAAGTGGAAGTAGAGATGGATTATTGTATATGTTTGTTATAATAAAATCAATAGTTTCGCCTACTGGGACATTAGTGAATAAATTTTCAGTGTCAAGTGAGGCTATGGTTTCATTATTAGGTTTTTCTAATTGAGTTGATTTTATGCTATATTTACTGGGAATGTATGGTGTGATAAGTTGGTTTATGATTTTTCTTAATTGATCAACAGTTGTGGGAGTTTGAGATATAATAGGACGGAGAGATAGTTTTGTTTGTGTATTTTTATAGTGCCATAACAAGGCCTATATTCCCCATTATTTTAGGAACTTTAAAACTCTCTTGTTCAGCATTATTAGCTGTGATAAGTTTGTTAATTTTTATTTTCAATTGCTTAGTAAGATTCCTGGTGATTTTTTTTAAAAGATGTTTGTTTTGCCTGCTTTTTTACGATTATATCTGGCAATTTGTGATGATTTTGTTAATATTTTTGAAAAGATTTTACTTTTGTCATGTCTATCCTTGACTGCCTCAGCTTTGAGTATGTCCCAAAATTCTGGTGTTGTTGTAATCAATTGTTCTTCCTGAAGATTTTCGATACTTTGAATATAACATTTCAGTTTCATTTATTTTTTTTTATTTAGACCATTATATTTACGGTATATATGTTACTTGGGTCTCAGGTTAAGCAATTCCCTTTGAATAACAAAGGGTCTTGTGATATTCCTCAGGCGAAGAAGAATGCGTATTTCCACATATTATTTAAAGGAATTGTTTTTTTCTTTCTATGTTAAATCTTTTAACCGCTGTCTGTTGTATGTAGTAGTAGTCATCTGAATCCATCTTGGACTGGCGGAAAATTTTTCCTCTGGTTAAGGATTAATACAACAATTAAATTTAATCAAAGAAAGGGAAAGAGAGGAAGATGTCATTGTTCTTATCTATTTATGCGCCCCTCTATCTTTTTGTGGTGTTTTCTTTCATTTATTCTTGTGTATTGTGTGTATGTGCATGTTTTCCATTGCGTGTATTTTTGAAGCATTTCAACTCAAGCAAGGCGGGGCTGCCACTAGGGGTTACAGAGAGTGATGGTAAGAGAAAAGACCGAGTATAGGTGGGAGGTCACTGGACCGAGGAGAAGCTCGACGTTCGATGATGAATTCAGACAGTTTCCAGGTTTTACAAAAATGAGAGGAGTAATGGTATGTCTAGGGAAGGCGTCCCTTATACTCCCAGACTGGAGCGAATCTTCTGTCAACGCGCGGCGTAGGAAAACCAACCTGAAAGTGTAGCATTTCCAGCCTGACTATGACACGACGCTGGGCACAAATGGTCCTGCAGATATTTGGCTTGTGTCCACCATACAAGAAGGAGAAAAGCAAGCGCTCGATCGCATTATTACGGCCCCCACAGAGAGAAGGGGCATTGACAACCAGTACTAGATGAGGAGAAACATGTACACGTAGCAAAACTCAGATCAACCCAATCGCGTTCGGAGCCAAGTCCGGACTGCCCCTGCTATCTTTGCCAGTACCTCCTAACAATTCTTCTTCAACTGGTGACCCGTCCCGGACAACATTCCAAAAATGTGGGGGACTGTCACTCCAATTTAAGTTACACGGAAAGCAACGGCCTTCCAAGCATCCTTCTATAGAACCACATTTCTGTTGCCTCAACTGTCTTTATCCGCGAGATTTCCCAGCATAAACGAACCATACAGTAAGATCAATATTATATAACAGATCAGTACATTTTCTATGTTTCTAATGAAATTTTCCTGTTTACTTAAATTTTGAAAGGCATCATTCGTTATCCTAATGCGCCTTCGGATTCCAGTGTCGCATTTTCGTATTCTGTTTAAACACTTTCAAGATATTTCAATTTTGGATCTTGCTTGATTTTGGTGTTTCCCATTCGAAGTTCATATTTTTCTAACAATCATACATTCTTTCTTCTTACAGTTGATGTGTAGTCCTTTCTTTTTGCTTTCCTCTACTACTTTCCGTGGAAATTCCTACTACGTCCTCTATAAATTATATTTCATTTGCATATCTTATGTTGTTAAGAATGTGGCTGTCAATAATGACAATTCTCTAATTCTCTTGCTTCACTCTAAGTCTGATGAAAAGACGCAACGTTGTCATATACCTCCTTCTATTTTTGTGTATTTACCGAATTCATTTCTATTTGGATGCAGGCATTTTCTTTCCAGTATAAGTTATGGATTATTCAAATATACTTCTCAAATAAATCAAGCTTACCTAGCAGTTCAAATAGTTCATTGTGACGCTTTTAAATAATCTGTAAAACAGAGGTATATGTCCTTTTGAATTTATATTGCTCCTTCTGATATTATTCGGAGTATAAATATCGCATTACTTTTTCCAGTGCCTCTAAAGAAACCGCATTGTTTTTGTTCTATTTCAGGACTAATTCTGATGTACACACAAGTCATCAAAATTGGGATCATAAATTGAGTTATGTGCTTGATTAGGTTACTTGTAAGATGGGGTCCGCGTTCGTATTCACCTAGCTTCTTTTAACCTGTTATTTTTCTAATACTTTTATGATTTTATTTATAGAATTATTCTTTATAGATTAAGTAAAAACGTTTGATAAGAACTGTTGGAATTGCTAGATTACCTTGACATATTTGGGAAGGATATTAGAATAATCCAGAACTTATTCTGGCAGCAATCCATCTGCATTCGGATAGAAATGAATTCAGTAAATATACATAAATAGAATGTAGTGTAAGACAAGGATGAGTCTTCTCACCTATACAGTGAGGCAATTATGAGAGAATTTGAATTTCTATCAGAATTTATCATTGGCAGCCACACTAATAACAACAGAACATTGTTGATAGCAGACGCAGAAAGGTAAACTATAAAAATTCCTATAGATGATAGTGCAAGAAAACAAGAAGAAAGGACTAAACATCTGAATTTCTTGTGAAAAAAAAATTAATTTTTTCATATAGCTCGTGTATAATGCGACCTAAAAATTCTGGGCAATAGTAGCAAGTCTAACCTAGTCAAATATTGCAGTACTGGACATCATCTTGCACACATATCAAATAAAAGCTCTTTATTAATTTTTGTACAGAGCTACCACAAAATGGTGAGGAAAAAAACACTTGCCGTAAAATATCTGCTATTTAGATATGGTACTTTTGTTTATGTTATGTATCGGAGGATTATAAGATTAAATAATACGAACAAATATAAAGCATAAATATGAATAAACAGAGAAGGACAGAATAAGAGACACAACTGAGGGATAAATACAAGACAAAATAATTTATACAAGGTATTTGTAGATTTTAAGCGGCACACATAGTGAATAAAGAAAAAGAAAAATGAAAATGTGTCAGGTTTATATTTAACTAGAATTTTCATAATGCGATCATTTAAACAGAAACATAATGATTATGTATTTCTAGTTACGAAAAGGACAACGATGATTCAAGAGATGGTGTTAAAAAAAGTAATTAAAAATGATAAAAATATAATAATAAATGACATTTCTCTTTGTTGGTGGTCTCTTCTTTATTAAGTATATGACTTTTCCTTACAGCTATATCACGTTGCAATACCAATCCCCGTATGTTCATGGAAGTTAAGCAACGACGAACTAGCCAGTATCTAGATGTGGGGATCGCATTGAGAATACCAGATGTTACAAGATTGGATGTGCAGGTGGTGCTTGGAGAGCCGAGTTCCAATTTCAGGTTATTTTTTTTTTTTTTTTAACGATAAGGTTCACCCTGTACAAAGCCCAGGATGGGGACCCTCTATATAGAGGGTTACATTAAAGGGTAGTTTATATGGATATGAGGGAAGATTATGGTTGACTCTAGACGTGAACAGATTAAGATTATAGTGATTATGGAAACATCATTTTGGGAGGTAGATCTTTTATGTAAATCAGAAAGACGGTTGGTCCGAGGTGACCTCTGGGCGATACTTGCGTTGATCCCCTAGGGCCTCGGAGTACTGGCCGTTAATAACTACTTTCAGTGATCTACATGTTAGGAAGGATAATAGACAAAATCCTTCCAGTGATTTAATAGAGAACTTGTAGAGCAAATTTTTGTACAACACCTTTTGTCGAAAGGCCTTCGAGATATCTAATGCTATGGAGTCCTTGCGATGTGTGTTTCGTCAAGGGCCTCACTCATTATGTGTGTAATGGTAATTAGGACGTCAGCAGTGGATTGGGTTATTTATATTCACTTACACGCAAATAACCTTGTGAAAGGTATTAGTTCACCTCTTCTCCCACCAGCTATGGATTAATTAGGTAAACTTGTATCACTGCACCATTAATATCTAAAAACATTCTAAAATTATTTTCTAACATTAAATAACCTAAAAACAAGCTTGGATATGGCACATGGCCGAAAAAATGAGACACCTAGTGAGGATCGAACTCACTACTCAGTCGTAATTATTCTAGCGAGACAAGCTTACTAACAATTACACCACCTCGAGGTGTCCTATTTTTGCCTTAATAGACTGAATAGCTTTCAGTATTGATGTCCTCTTTCAAGTTCCTTTTCCTTTACATATAATACCTCAGTACCATCTCTGGAATATTTTTGTTCGTATATGCTTATCATATTCCTATCCGTCATCATTGTAAGTTCTTCTCTTTTCCAGCATAGGAAGGGTTCCGATTTTTTCATTATTAATAGTATTTATAGTGGAAGACTTTTCCCTGTTGCTTATCAAGAGAAATAACATTTCTTAATTTAGCCAACACGTTATTTCCAGTATTTTCGTCATATTTAATAATACTAACATATGCAAAATCCATCTTATTTGACTATGCATTCTTGAACGTTTCGTAACCCATTATAAATGTTAGGTTCATCACTTTGATCTAGAGAAAATCCATGTAATGGGAACACCATTCCTCACCTGCTCCAAAATGTAGATTTTTCTGCCCGAAAGCTGATGACCTCAAATTTTGGTGATGCAAAAGGTATTGAGTTTATTGAATATTTTAAAATATACCACATCTATAATGAAGAGTACTATGCCAACTTGCTGAAGCAGTTACGAAAGATTATCATGAAACTTGATTAAAGAGGATTTGTTCATCAGGTCAATTCTCCAACGCACAAGTCCTTAGTTTCAATGGCTGCTGTACGCGACTGTGGCTTTAAACTCGTTGATCACTTCCTATTTTTATGATTTAGCCTCGTCTGACTATCATCAGTTCCCCAACCTGAAAAAAAAAACGTTTAGCTATGAACCAGTATCGCAGTCATAATGATATCATATATCCTATTGATGAGTTTTATGACCAACAGGATGAAAACTTCTTCACCAATGAGATCCAATCACTGGAACACCGATGACAGAAGTGTGTGGTCTGCAAGATGGGGCAATGTTGAAAAATAAATCTTAGTTGATCTCATTCAATCAGAATATCTTGGTCTTCCTATGAACTTTTCAACTGACCCTCGTATATAAGGTTATGAACTGACCATGACAGCTAGATAGATATTGACATAACTTCGATAGATGTATTAATCAATAAAGAGAAAGTATGATCTGGAAATAAAATGAAAGAGAATGACTTCATTTGTATTGTTCAACCACCAAACGGCGATAGCAAATAAAGAAAATATTTTTCTCAGAATTATCTTTATTTTGTACTGATTTACCTTCATTGAATAAGCCATTTAGAATATCTGGGAAATCACGTGCTCTTGTCGGCAATTTTATATTTGTGGCTGCTGTCTGATAGATAGATTCATTTATTTAATACCAGAAAATATTTTTAGATTGTAAGAATTTTAGGGGACGGGAAGAGGTAATAATGTTTTAGTGATTCTAGTCTTATAATTACGCCATAGCTGGGGTGGGGGTGCGAGAATCGTATTTGTGCGTAAGTGAATATAACGAACCCAACAGGGATTAGAACTCTTCCCAGGCATTATCCATTACACCACCCGCAAATCCAAGCTTGATCCAGAACTTGATATTCCCAAGTGAACAGGCATCTCGGTACTAACCAGGCTGAACGTTTCTTGACGATTATAATACACAGGAACTGGAGTTTCCACAATGATGTGGCGCTTTGTACTAGTCAGCTGCTGATTGATTTCGAGTTTGAGGTTATTTTATTGTTTGTAATAAGGCACAGAATTAAAGAAGTTGCCTTGACGAAAGCTAAAATAAACAGAATGATCCGCGATGGGGCTAATCGCAAAATAACAATACAATAACAATACAAAGAATACCAGTAAAAGAGGATCCTAGTTTTGTACTAGAATTTAACCTATAGCCTGGTGCAGAAGACCTCTCTCTCTCTCTCTCTCTCTCTCTCTCTCTCTCTCTCTCTTATTCTCATAATATTCAGGATGAATGGAAAATAGAAATAAAAAATGTTTAAGAATAATTTTTATTTTTGTTGATACAAGTGTAGGAATATTTTAATTAACATATATATATATATATATATATATTTTATCTTACATACAACGAATATTTCCCTCACTAACATTTATCTTCCATCATATACTCATGTATACTACTTTTTTTATCTTCCAAAATGTAATTTGTCGTCTTCAAGATGTAGGCGATCATCATTATCCTTGGTTCCTTTTATATTATTTGTGAATTGCTATTAGTATTTGGGAATGGTAATGTAGTGATTTCCTGTTACTTCTCTGTAGTTGTGAATTCAGAATGGGCATTCTCTTATAGTAACTGCCAGCCTACTACAGAGTGCCAGACCTACTCAACTATACAATGGTTTAACTGAGGATTTTTGAACACTATGTGTTTGCTTTAATTTTTATGACGGAAATTATGATTCAAGTTACTTAAATGGCTGCATAGTTTTGTTCTCCTATGTTCATCTAATAAACAGAAAAGAAAGTAATATCAATGTAACTAATCAAGTAAAATTGGTAGAATTTTGGGGTATAATATAAACTAACATATTAACGTCTTTTTCTTTTCTTTTTTGAGTTCCTTAAGAAACATTGAGTTCTGTAGTGAAGTTGCTTACAAATTGTTTATAAATGAGACGTTTATAAAAAGTCGTGTATTTAACTCGTATTGGGTAAAAATAAATGGATTCATGCCGTATTTTCCCTGTCATTCTTAATCAGACCCAGAATACCTATATATTCTTCTGGGCTTCATAATTCTAATTATTTTAATTTCTATTCCTGGATCTTTATATTTGGTGAATTTTTCTGTAGTTTTCATACAGGTAATTCTTTCATTGGTGCAGACGTGTCTAATAAGCAGACAAGTTACCTGATGAAAACCTCAAGGAGAATGAGACATTGCGCCTTCTCGGCTAACATTTTCTGTCGATATGGAGCCACCATGCCACGTACGCGGGAACGAATCATCCTCATTCCTTCGTATTTCATTAGTAAGAACGAATTTCCATTCCGACAGCATCTTCCCAAGAACTGCCCGAGAGGATCCTAACCACGTAAACTCTAGGAATAACCTTTATATTTCCTACATAACCTCTTAAACTGTAGCGGGTGTGCGGTGGTTTAATAGTTTTAATGAGAAATCGGAGAGTAAAGTTCGAATCTCCGTCGGATTCATTAAACTCACTTCTGTGCAGATAACCTTGGAACAAGAATGACTATCTCTATGCCTACTTATGTGTTAAATTGTAGAATTTCTATTTTGAAAAATGATTGATATTCTGAAAAACATGTTTATGCAATATTCACTTGCAAGAATGTAATTTTGTAATAGTTCACAAGTGGTTGATAAGCCATAAAAAAGCAAATTAATCAATTATTCAAAACTCATAGCATTTCTTATCGCCTTCTTGGATGCACACATAAAAACACCATTCATTTACTCTCTATTTTTAGTAAATATTTATTGATTGAACATTAGTAAAAACAAACAAGCGATGATGATAACGTGTTGGCTATTTTAGCTGTTTTTTCTTTTTTGTTATATTTTTATTCCCCATTTTACGGTGAGTAGTATTTTTCTTATACTTGCTTTTCCTTCCATTTTTTTTTATTAACTTATATTTTTAAAACCCATGAAATTATGTAGCCTCAACATATTATTTATTTCATATTTGTGAGTCTTCTGTATTTTTTATCCCTAACATCCCTTTTTTCCTCTAGTCTTTTGATCTAGAATATTCTCGTAGCGTTCTAATTGAAGATGAATTTATTTCAAATTATATTAATCTCCATAATGAATTCTGACTTGAGACAAGTTTGTAGTTAACTAACTTGATCGTATCAGAATAAATATAATCAGTAAATGATACTTGCTTAAAATTCGCTATTTATGTTTATTGAAATTCCACTGTACTTTACTTTCTTGAAGGTACCCCACGGCATGTAATGAATTTAGGCAAAATCAATAACCTCTTTACGTCCACCTCCATATACTTTGTTTACACTAATTAATAGGTTAGCTTATAGAAATAAACAATGCAAACTAATGTTATAAATGTCATTAAGCGAAAAAAAAATAATTGGAAGCAAGACGTGTCTCAAGAAGGAAGCACAATCGATGGAGCAAAATAATGCTACCCATGTAAAAACCGCAGATGATATGTATGTAGGTGAATATATGTGATAGAGGGATTTGCAAGAGATATTTTTCTGGGAAGATGTTGTGGATTCCGAGATGAAATCCGGTCTCAAATGAATGACAAACGCAGGAATGAGATATAGCAAATAAATGCTTTGGCGTAATAATACAATTGGTAATACGGTTAGTAAATCAAGAAATGCGGTTAGTGGCAATAATAATATATATATACAGTCTGGGAAATTCAGTATCGAAGTCTACGTGCTCGCAACTATGACTCCTACAAAACTCACACTCTCACTCTCTCACCCTCTAATTCTATCACCCTCATATAAAGAAGAGACTTGAAGCAACAGAAATGGGACAACAAATTATCGTTCAGTTTTTATCCTTTCCTCAGTCGAGGGGGATATCTAGTCTTTTCTCTCACCTTCATTCTCTGTAACCCCCTGCGTACTAGTGGCATTCCCGCCTTGTCTGGGTTGAAATTAATAAGTCTACAGATTCCTTTAATTCATCTTCGATAGATAAGAATAACATAGATAGATAGATAGATAGATACATAGATAGATAGATAGATAGATAGATACATAGATAGATAGATAGATAGATAGATAGATAGATAGTGGGAGTGTATGCAAATGTTTTGTTTGTATTTGTATGTATATGAATATCTTATTTCCATTAAATGATATTTGAACCGAGATGTTTTCCACTTTCTGAAACTTTATTTTCATCTTTCCCTGTAAAATAAAAAAAAAAAAATATATATATTTATTACTTATTATTGATACATTGTTTCTTTTCTCTCTGATAGCGACCGATGATTTGTTTTCAGACTTTCTCATAAAGAAGGATTAAGAAATGTTGAAACTGTAGGAGAAAAATAATTTTCAAACTGAATTATATATTAAACAAACTAGAACATTATAATTAAATTAATTAATTAAATCGTAATTGCGTGTATGTAAAGAATAAATGATATAATAATGCTTAGAAAATTATAGATATCTGTGTTTAAATACATTAAGTGTTAATTTTCTCAAAGCTAATAAAATTTGTCTATAGAAGTTTTTTTCCTTTTTTTTTTGGCAAAAATATGTATTACTTTCGTTATTAGACAATCTTATAAAAACATCTGATATGCAAGAATTAAAAAAATATGAAATGAAGTTTTGTTTTATATTTAATGAATATATTTAACCAATTTTTTATCAGTTTTATAAGTTCTGCAAAATTTATTCTCGTTTAATTAGCGGTTACTATAAAGGAGAATAACTCTCATAAAGTCTCTAAAGAGTTATTTCCCTTAGACCAGAAAAATTTCGTTTTGTGTTAAATATACGAGGAAACTGAAAATAGAAGCTTGCTGTAATTTGATGTTCGCAAGGTTTCTTTTCAGATCAGAAATTCCGATTATTTTGTAACTCAATGGTCATAAAATGTTAAGATGTTTTAGTATATGGGATTTAAACAAAGACACAACACACCTTAAATTTGCAACTTTTCGTTGCATATTCTGAATAACTGACGACATTTTCTTAATAAAGATATTGATTTTTATTGACTTAATATTTGTTTCAATAATAATGCAAAAATTAACGTTTTTCTTTTAAAATCGCAATGAACAGTAAAGAGTTTTATTCGGATAATAATTACTCATGAGCATTTTTAGTTCCTTGAAATGTAAAATTCTCTTTCATTTATTCATTACATTCAAAGATATGTTAATTTTTATATAATTTAATAACCCTAGCGCTTGAATTGATTCCTTCCTCTAACAATCAATTTTACTCTGATTTTCATTTATGTACACACAGAGTTAAATGGCATAAATTTAAGGTTTAAAATGGTATAATTCACTGTTTTACTCATCAATATTTTCTTCCGGAGACAGAAATATTAAAATTTATTGTGAAAATGATTAAATGTAAATAGTAACGCAATGGAGTAGCAATAAAGGCGACAAAAAAATTGAAGTCATGGCTGTATTAAAAATCAGTCGGCACTAAATTAAAAACTTTGCAAAAATTGTTTCATTTCCTTACCCCTCTGCTATCAGGATTCATTGTAATATATATAAAGAAAAAACATTATTACCTAAACACCTCTCTTAAAGTACTACCGGCACTTAAATGAATCCAATAAAACACCTACAGAAAAATGAAATTATGATGAAAAGCTAGAAGATGTAGGCCTTTATACATACATGTGAAACTATAGATAACTAAGTTTATAAAAAAATAAAATAAAGTTTGCTAAATCAGAGAAATTAATTAGCTATTTTTGCTGTAAGTGTCATAAATTTTACTTAAATAATATTTAAATATAAAATTTTAAAAATCGTAATATACATACTTATACGTGATATGGAAAAATAATTTTACTTACTGTAAGTAATTCTAATACATTTACTTCTTTTAAAAAGAAATATAGTCTATTAAAACTAAGAATGAAAATATTTAATTGTATTTAAAATTGTAGTTAAATAAAACGAATTCTAACCTAAACATCTTTTAAAATTGTAATTAAATAAAACGTATTCTAACCTAAAGACCTCCCTCTAAGTACTAGAAGCGCTTAAAAGAATCCAATAAAACACCTACAGTAAAATGAAATTAATATGAAATGCTAGATGTAAGCTTTTGAATGACCCATGTCCTTTGTACTTACATGAGAAACAATATATTACTAGGTTTATATAAAAAATAAAAGTTGACTAAATCAGTGAAATTACTTAGCTATTTTTCCATCATTGTCATAAATTTTGCTTAAATAATATTTAAATATAATTAAAAAGAAATAATAATTTGTTACCTAATAATATACATACTTATACTTGATGTGAAAATAATTCTAGATACTGTAAGGAATTCTAATACATTTACTTGTTCTTAAAAGAAATATAGTATATTCAAAATTAAAAGTGAGAATATTTTTCAAATCGTAGTTAAATAAAACGTATTCTAACCTAAACACCACACAAAATCTTTAAACATACAAATAGAAAAAAATGACGTAAGAATTTTTGCCGTTAACAATAAAATTTTTAAATTATTTTCATTGAAAAATACATCCCTACCCCTACCAAAACGTAACTAATAACTGATACATCAAAATACAGCCATAATGAACACGCAAACACCCCTTGTCTGGTTGAATTGGATTTCTCTGTATCCTTGGAAACGTGAATCATGATTTTTGCTGTGTCTTTAAAAGCCAGTAATTTTAAAAGTTACTCCAAAATTCGCTTGAGGATGAAATGGAACTAATGTCTTTAATTTAATTACAAAATTAAATTCGGAGCTTTCAGTTTCCATTTTTGAAACATGGTTAGAACTGTGTAGCGAAAAAAAACATATTTTAAATCAAGTAATTTATATATTTATATTTAACTAGAATTTCCATAATGCAGTCATTTAAACAGAAACATAATGATTATGTATTTCTAGTTACGAAAAGGACAACGATGATTCAAGAGATGGTGTTAAGAAAAGTAATTAAAAACGATAAAAATATAATAATAAATGATATTTCTCTTTGTTGGTGGCCTCTCCTTTAATAAGTATATGACTTTTCATTACAGCTATATCACGTTGCAATACCAATCCCCGTATGTTCATGGAAGTTAAGCAACGACGAACAAGCCAGTATCTAGATGGGGGGAGGGGTGCGCGTTGAGAATACCAGATGTTGCAAGATTGGATGTGCAGGTGGTGCTTGGAGAGCCGAGTTCCAATTTCAGGTTAATTTTTTTTTTTTTTTTAACGATAAGGTTCACCCTGTACAAAGCCCAGGATGGGGGACCCTCTATATAGAGGGTTACATTAAAGGGTAGTTTATATGGATATGAGGGGAAGATTATTGTTGACTCTAGACTTGAACAGATTAAGATTATATTGATCATGGAAACATCATTTTGGGAGGTAGATCTTTTATGTAAATCAGAAAGACGGTTGGTCCGAGGTGATCTCTAGGCGATACTTGCGTTGATCCCCCAAGGGCCTACTTTCAGTGATCTACATGTTAGGAAGGATAATAGACAAAATCCTTCCAGTGATTTCATAGATAGAGAGCAAATTTTTGTACAACACCTTTTGTCGAAAGGCCTTCGAGATATCTAATGCTATAGTCCCCTTGCGATGTGTCTTTCGTCAAGGGACTCACTCATTATGTGTGTAATGGTAATTAGGACGTCAGCAGTGGATTGGGTTATTTATATTCACTTACACGCAAATAACCTTGTGAAAGGTATTAGTTCACCTCTTCTCCCACCAGCTATGGATTAATTAGGTAAACTTGTATCACTGCACCATTAATATCTAAAAACATTCTAAAATTATTTTCTAACTTTAAATAACCGGAAAACAAGCTTGGATATGGCCGAAAGAATGGGGCACCTAGTGAGGATCGAACTCACTACTCAGTCGTAATTATTCTAGCGAGACGAGCTTGCTAACAATTACACCATCTCGAGGTGTCCTATTTTTGCCTTAATAGACTGAATAGCTTTCAGTATTGATGTCCTCTTCCAAGTTCCTTTTCCTTTACATATAATACCTCAGTACCATCTCTGGAATATTTTTGTTCGTATATGCTCATCATATTCCTATCCGTCATCATCGTAAGTTTTTCTCTTTTCCAGCATAGGAAGGGTTCCGATTTTTTCATTATTAATAGTATTTATAGTGGAAGACTTTTCCCTGTTGCTTATCAAGAGAAGTAACAACATTTCTTAATTTAGCCAACACGTTGTTTCCAGTATTTTCGTCATATTTAATAATACTAACATATGCAAAATCCATTTTATTTGACTATGCCTCATACTTAAGGACGCAAAGCATAACCTGATATTGCCGATATTTCTTTCGTGCATGCATTAATTTCAGCTCATCTTATCAATAACTGTATTGTTTATTTCTGAGTAAATTGACATCTGACTGTTTAAAAAGGACTTCAAAAGTAACTAGTAGCAAATTCTCTTGAAAATGGACAAAATTTGGCATCATTGTTTTATCCTGTACCTACAGAAAAATGGGTTTAGCCCTCAAAGATATTCATGCTGACATAGTAGCTACATTAGGGGATGACCCTCCAGCTTTATCAATAGTCCAAAAATGGGTAGTTGAATTTAGGAAGGAAAGGGAGAGTCTTGAAGATGACCCAAGCTTTGGTCACCCTGCAACTACAACCACCGAGGGAAACCATGATCGGCTTCACCGCATTATGAGGAATGATAGGCGAATGACTGTAAATCAAATAACCAATACTATTAGCATATCCTGTGAGAGAGTTGAGAGTTGCGCAATGAACTTGGTGCGACGAAAGTTTCTGCTCGGTAGATATCACATCTTCTGACACCACATTAAAAGCGCACCGGGATAAGTACATTACTTAAAATCTGACGCTGTTTGAAGCGGATCCAGCTGTTTCCTTGACCGTTTCGTAACCCATTATAAATGTTAGGTTCATCACTTTGAGCTAGAGAAAATCCATGTAATGGGAACACCCTTCCTCACCTGCTCCAAAATGTAGTTTTATCTGCCCGAAAGCTGATGACCTCAAATTTTGGTGATGCAAAAGGTATTCATTGAATATTTTAAAATATACCACATCTATAATGAAGAGTACTATGCCAACTTGCTGAAGCAGTTACGAAAGATTATCATGAAAC